ATGATTTGTGAAGCTAGTTCCCCTTGTAGAGGGGTGTCCCTTCCCTATGTACCTCTCGGAAAACGTCTGGAAGCCAGTGGGGCAGAAGCAGAGGTCCCAGGGGGAGGCTGGCTAGAACTTTCGAGTTGACATGGGTTGCTCCTGCAGGTTCCAGTGTAGGGTTCACTGCTTGCACAGTTGTGGTTGCCCTGGAAGCTACAGTTGGTGCTTGCTGTGGACACCTGTCAAGAACTTAACAGATATTCTTGGTTACCTTTTGTTCCCATATGGAAGCACAGTGTTAAAATTGCAGGTAGCTTTGGCAGGGGGAATGTGGAGAATCGTGTGCCTATCATTTGAGAGGTGTTTGATCCCTTACTTTGCTCTGAAACATGCCTGCCCTGAACTTCAGCAGCATGTTGGCATTTCCTGGGCTGATTAATGTCATCATCCCTGTGAAATCAATGCTATTCCAGATACACCTACAGCTTAATGCTTTGGAATGAGTTTTCTGCTTATGAATCATGGTTGCTATAGTTTAACAGTAAGAAACAAAAAAATCTGTGAGGCTTGTTCTGACCTTCAAATATGAATTTCAAGGGGAAAAAGTGTTTCTGGAATATGACAGCACTTGAATTACCCGGTCTGATTTCTGTTCTTAAAAGTTCTGTATCCTGGTTTCATCCAGGACAGAATCAGTTTTCTATTTCGTGATTTTACTTTCCAGTTGAGTATCTTCTAAGTAGCTGCTCTTGCTGAAGTTAACAGCATGTTTCACAGTGTCTGCTTCCAGGACTGGTAACACTCCCTATTTATAGTTACGGCTTGAGGACCTCTTCTTGGTTCTGAAAAACATCTTGGAATATCCCTCTGGAACTAGAAGGGAGTAAAGTGGTCAGACCCATGACCCTCCTGTGGGGAGGAGCAGACCAGACAGGTGACCAAAACTGACCAGATTAAGTGTTGCATCCCATATGTGTCATACTTGGTATAAATCTGAGGGATCGTGAGTGTCAAGCTCTCTTCATCCATGGCTGGTGTCTGTTCACCTGCCTTTGATCCCAATCCATGTGCTCCTGAATCGCCGTGTTCCCGCACCCAGCTCCTGTCTGCTGCTGACTCAATGAGTCTGGGACTTTTCCAGGGTCTGTCCTGCAGCCTTGGTGGTGATGTGAGCATTATGGGGGCGGGGGTGGGGCAACAATGGTTTTTGTCTAGATTTTATTGTTTTCTGTTTCATCATTATCATTCTCATTAAAGCTGTGTAGTTTGGTTTCCAGCCCATCAGTCTCCTTTATCCTCTGTCCCTGTAGGGGAGGAGGGTTAATGGAGTGCTTCTGTCAGTTGCTTAATTGCCAGCTCAGCGTTAAACCGTGACATTCTGTCAAACTACTCTTTGTGTTCATGGAGAAACATTAAAAATAGCTTTGGTCTTCTGTGTTAAAAATTCTTTTTACTGGGCTGTGCAGCTGTAAAATGAACTTCTTTTAGGAGAAAATGTATGGCATTTACATGACACAACTTGAATGTCTCATCTTAATTCAATTATGTTAAAAGTATGTTAATAGGTAGGCTGCAGTCTTCTGCAGAACACCAAAAGAAAATAAATTGGTGGGGTTTGTTAGAAGTAATAGCTGCGTTTCACCATGATTATAAATGCTCCTGAGCACATGTTATGCCTCCATAAAATCTTGCTGATTATAACTGTTGTCCACTTAGCTTCTTACTCCATACACAGATATATCTAAAATGTGTATATTGGTCTGGCTGCAAATGATTGTTGCATTGCAGGGAACAGAGAATCAGCTTCAGGGGGAAAACGTTGCAAAAGCCATTGTTTAATTACTTCCAGTAAAAGTCAAGTTTGCAAGACTTCTTTCAAAAGCAGAATGTAAGATTTTTGCATTGCTGGACAAAACTGTGTATTTTTTATACTCCCAAGCATTTTTATTGCAAGTGTGAACTTAATGTCTTGCTGACTGTGGCGTTGAATCCAGCCTGTACCTTCCAGTGCAGTGAAATCCATCTTGTAACAAAATGCTAGTTTGTGGAGTTCCCACATAAAACATTAGCTGTTTTCAAACACGATTGACTGCTCATTTAATCTTTATTAACTTGCAG